TAAAACTCCCGAACAAATGGCTAAAAAAAGGTGCTTTGTAATTATCTACTTGAGCTAATGCTTCTGCTCACCGTTTATCACGAAAAAAAAGCACTTTTTTTTTGAAGCATACTGTAGATAGTGACTGCTCCTTTTTTTGATTAATTTTCATTATTTTTCGTTTATTTTTCTTAATCAACAATAAGATGGCACATTTATTGTTAAAATTAGCAATGAATGTGAGCTGCATGAATTGGACGAGACAGTATACTTATTAAACTTTGTCAAAACCAGGTGTTTCCCTTATGTATTCTGAAGCCGAAACGGGAGCGCATATGCACAATAATTACATAGTTCTTAGTTTATAAGAATTTAATTTTGTTTTCTTTTCACTTCTTTTTTCATCTTCGCTTAAAATTTTATACATACCGTTCTTATATCTTATGTGTAGTGCTCCACTATTCATATTTCCCTCACGGAATCCTCAAACAGGGTTTTGTGTGCAAACTTAATGGTTAAACTTCGAATGGTTTTTTTGCGAAGGATTGCTAGGAGTAACCAGACTGAAGTTGCCTGAACTATTTACTGTAGCAAATATGTTAATTTCAAAGGTCAATTTTTTGGGCAAAATTTCCTGACATTAGTTTCTTTTCTTTCCTTCATAAAAAAACAGCTTCTGAAATGCAGTTTAGTTCTTCCAGCACTTCTTTTTGGATACAGAAACTTATGTGTCTCAGTTTGCTGTAAAAGGCCTTAACAGGAGGCAAAACTAGTATGCGGATTGTCTATATTAATTGGCGAGTTTGTTGTAAAAACTGAATACCCGAGTAGTTATATCTGAGTAGCGCAGATGTTCTTGCCCGTTTGAAGTTCCTTCTGAAATTTTATAGCACAGCTGGGAAGAGGAAACGCCGTAAGACACTGGAGAATTTGGAGAAGGCAAGAAACGGACTATTAAGTCTCGACCCATTGGTAAAATTATTTTTTAAAGTTTCTGTTCATTTATAAAAGCATTGTAGCCCCAAAGCTTTCCGATTCGTTTCAGAAAACTGTTATATTTAAAATCCTTTCTTCATTTACTTCTCGAATGAAAAAATTCTCTCTGCGCGATCAATTTATTAGCATTATAAAAATATCCCCTCAGCAGCTTTTGAACCAGTTTTTGTAACAACAACTTTTCCAGGTACGTGAGGAAAACAGGATAATCCCTCCACTGGATTTGAAGGCTCACACATTGCGAGAAGAGTTAGAACTTCCCGAAAGGGACGATTTTCAAGAGGAATTTGGTGCACATCTCCCCTCTGCACCTGCCGAAATGTAAATCCATTTTTCACACTTTTTAAGAAGTTTTTATATTTTTGAACTATGGATCCCTTTTCACTGAGTTTGAAAGGAAGAGGTCTGTTCAGCGCATTTTAAGTTTTTACTGACACTTTCGAAAAATAACAAATTCAATGACAAGTTGTATAAGTCGGTGCTGAAGTATTTTGCTAAAAAACTTGCTGTCTTCGAATTCTTTGAAACAGACCACTGAATCGGGAGCTGGTGAAAGCCTTTCCAATGTTATATTGCTGTTTGCTAAATCGACCTTTGCAACGGAAAATACCATAATCGAAATCTCACACTGCAATTAACAGAGCTGAAAACTGAAATTTTTTGAATATAATGCCTGATCCTGTGGGGCATGAAAAACGTAATAGCATCTGGCTTTTAAGCGCGCTAGAATCTGGCACAGAGAAAATTTCAAGCTGCAAAAATGCTTGATCGTACCGGCAGCACTAGTGCGCATCGAAATCGCGTTTTAGCCACAGTGGCGCCCCTTTCATACCTTTGTCAGCTAAGGCTGTTATACATTGTTTTTTGACCAAGAATGTCCGAAATTCAACAAGATACTTCGGCCCAAAAACAGCAAGTTTGCGCCGGCTTCCTGAGCAATTTCATTTTGCAGGGAGACGCTTTTTGATCTCTTTAACGCCGTTCCACCCGAGGAATCTGCTCCGGGCGAGCAGGCGAGTGCTGCGAGAGACGGCAGCCCTGTCGTACCGGAAGGACAAACTATCACTGCTGCTCCTGAAGTAAATGGCGAGAATGTTGCTGGCGGCGAGAATGTTGCTGGCGCCGAGAATGTTGCCGGTGCCCAAAATGTTGTCGCAGAGGAGAATGTTCCGGATGAAAATGCAGCTGTATGCAAACTTTTACGTGAATCATTTGTCTTTTTAATTATTACCCTTTGTAAAAAAGACAATTTTTCTGACTTGTACAATGTAATTCAATATTTTCCTGGTCGATAAGATAGCTCACCATGGCATGTAAGCAGTAACAGGACGAAGTTGTTGTGTGCAACAAATATCAGGAATCTCTTGAAACAGCTAAAGTCGATTGCATTTCCTGGGAAAACCTCTCAGCTGCTAATCTTCTCGGGGGGATGAGTCAGAAATTAGAATCGCTAGCAAATTAGCTAAGAGGGACTATTGTAGTGGTTAAAATAACCGAAAATTTGTTGTCTACGCATTTGGGGAACAAGATTATGAATTACAGCTGACTTACCTATCCCAAGTGAATGTAATCGAGGGTTTTTTCGGCGGGATTGGAAAACCACCAGGGTAGTCTCGTGTTGGAACCAATATCTCAGTTCCAGACTAATCTTTTGGTAACGCATATCCTGTTTTGATGGTAAATTGATACACGGTATCAAACTACCCCTGCAGAACTACCGTATATCTCCCTGGTATATGCCACTGTCACCCTACCATAGAAATGATAATGATTCAGCGATTCGTAGAAGAATTGGTTGTCTTACTGGTCTGGCCAAACTCTTCACCTTTAGCCTAAAAACAATGCAACTTGTCGCTGCAATATATAAATAAATGGCAATGCGCACCAGACTAGCCGGTGCGATCATGCGTTTTGTGCAATTAAGCCGATCGAACGATTGCCTGTT